GAAGTTTACTTGAAGTACAAGAATTTAAAAACATCAGAGATTTTATAACTGAACTCAGAGGAATGAACAGAAAAAATTGTTTTTTATTTAATTGTAAACTGTAATTTAGTGTTTGTTTTAAAATAAAGTTTGTTTATGTATTTAAAAAGTTTAGATATCCCTATATAGATGGACCCCCACCACCACTTTATACTTTATACGTATAAACAGTTTGTTTTTAATAATAATCATGACAGAATCAATCTCAGGGAATAATAATTGTCTTAAAACATTCTTTAAAGAGTGAATATTTTCAAATCATATGTTTACATATCCTTTTTTTCCATCCTACGGCTTATTCTAAAAAAAATCTTTTTTGTTTGTTTCTTTTCTTGGGTTTTTTTTTAACAAATTTTATTATCTATTTTGGTTATTATATCGTTAGAACTGAAGAGGGTGAACCCTGACCGAAATATATTTTCAATAAAATGTGGAACTAACACCTACTTTATATTTACTCTGTAGAGGTTTAGTTTATCATCATCACCGAATTTTAAATGATTGTTTTCTAAGCCCCACCTTTTACCAAAATGAACCATAGAATAGGATTGAGAGGGTTTAGGCCTCCAGATATGTATATATATTGGTATTTTGGTTGAAAATATGAATTTCATTTCAAAGAATTTCAAAAGTTTTCAAAGAACTTTTGAAACTTCATACTTTTCCATGGAGTGCAGTGCAATGATCATTGTGCAAAACTATAAGAAATCTAGGGTGGGGGGCTTTATAATCTTGACAAATTTTATCTACTCTTATTTTAAAACAATCTAAGAAGGGGAAAAAGAACAAGAGTTGAAAATGGAAAAGCTACGGAATTAAATAGTTCATTAGGGAAAAAGATTAAACCAGGAACTTCACTTCAAAGTACAAGAATTATGTTCAAAACTTTACCGCCCTGAACTGCTGTGTACAATATATAGTCCTAGCAGTACATTGTACAATATTATGCGTACATATTAAAACCAGTTCTCTCTGGGCGGAATTTGTAAACAAGAATAGATGCATCAGTGTTCGTTTAGTGTCCGAGGAGGATAAAATCAATTTGATAATTTTGTTATTTAAATAGAATAGTTTCCTATGACCAGAATATTTCATTGATTTTTTAATGTGAAAGATGGATCCCCTGTCAGGCTGTGACATCCGTCTTGTGTTTACATTACAGCCCATAGACAGTTCACTGCAGTACAAAAGATGCGTACACCTCTGAAATAACTTTCCTTGCATTATACCCTTGGTATATGCTATGTGATTGTACACCTGCAATAAATATCTATACATTATATAAGTAAAAAACCTTGCATATACGTAAATTCTGACGTGTTTATTGATTGATGGATACTTTCTTTTTATTTGAAAAAATTGAATAGATTATTATGGAACAGTTTAAAATTGTATACTGTTTACAGGCTCTATGGACATTTCATTTTATTCAATTTTTCTAAAAATGATAAATAATGTCAAAACCTAGGTCCCTAGTAAATTCAATGCACTTTATCTAAAGGATGTGTTTAGATGGGAGCATGGGAGGGAGAAAGGTGGAGAAGGAGGGGTGGAGCAAGGGGAAGATAGAGAAGGGGGGGAAGATTGAGAAAGAGTTGAGGGGGAAATGGAGAAGGTGGGGAAGATGAAGACAGGAAAAGGGGAGATGGAGATGTGGGTTGAATGGGAAGGGAGGGGGGAAACACTAGCGACAAATTTTGGTGAAACAAAAATTAAAAATAATTTTCTCTCTCAATTAATTCTTTTTGAATGATTGAAATCTTTATTTTCTCATGCATAAAAAAGAAAATATGAAATTATTTTTGAATTGATATTTTTTAATATTAAAAAAATTTGAGGCACGCTTGAAGACACAGTGATCTACACCTTTATGTAAATAATAGATCAACTTTTCAGACCATGCCGACAACCTACTTATCATTTTTCGCAGTACTGGATATCAAGAATTTAAATCTACAAAGCGCTTGATTATCTGCTTAGTTTAAATAGAATATTTGGCAAATTCTAATACATTTTTTCATTAAAATGTTCATATATTAGCTCACTGTGAAAGTTGTAAACTGCTTAAAAAGAGATTTTGTTTTAGTTCAATTTTTTTTAAAATATAAATTATTGTTTTTTTCGTCAAAAAATAACTTAAAGTCTAGACTGTTAAGAATTCTCTGCTTGTTTTTGGCAAGTTTTTAACTCGGGACCGGAATTTTAAAAATTGTTTTCGATGGAGGGATTTATTAATATTGTTTATAATTTCCTTTACTTTTCTTCGATAAAAATCGTAAACTTTGCTATTTTACAACAAAACCTGGCCGCTTTAGAATCACGACCAATAAACTTAAATATAAGAAAGATTTTTTCCTTCTCTTACAATTACGCTTTGCTTTCTATAGCCTTCTTAATTCCCTACTTTCCTCTTTTTGTCATGTAAATTTTGAATTTTAACTTTATTGGCGCTATGCTGAAAATTTAGATGACAACATTTGAAAAGGAGTTGAGTTTTTGCCACAAACTCTGATTTTCTATTCTCTATATCTTTGCAACCCCATGTCATAGGCCTTAGATATTTCAAACTATTAATACTTATAGATAAAATAATCTAAGTTTAAAATATAAAAGGTTTGCACCATCTGGTTGCACAGATATTGGGATCATAAGATTTGAGTTTGTGGCAAAAACTCAATTCCTTTGAAAATGTATTAAAATTATCATTTATGTATACATATTTAGATATGCATATATATTTATTGAACGACATATCCTAATCGAGTTTACAAAAAATGGAATCCCTGGATTTATTTTTATGTTTGTTATGTTGATCTAGATACAGATGGAGATTGTCAACAAATGTTTTTTATGCATTTTTTGCTTTAAACCGAAGCAGAACACAACTTATGAATTCATATGTTTTGCTTAAGAAAAGACTTCGAAAATATTTTTTTTCTGGATCATAAACGATGATTTCATACAGACGGAAATTAAAAATCCATTTTTTGTTTTAAAATTGTTAAATAAAAATGACAACCAAAATTTTTCAAATCTGAAATTTTTCTTTATTTCAATTTGAGTACGGTTAAAAAGATGCCCTTTTCTACATGGTTATTATGTATATAAATATATATATATATATATATATATACATATATATCTACATATATTAAATCTAATCTACTTATATATTCAAACCTGTCTACACAAGACACCCTAGAGCCAACTTGTCTTACAGATGTCGACAAAAACATAAAAAAACAAGAAACAAAAATATTAAAGGAACTGGCGTCGTAATATTAAGCGATCCTCCATTTACAAAGAGGCCTTTAAACGATACTCTGTAAACCTGATCAATATCTTTCAGGATATTGTCGTTTTTCTAGCATTTAAAATGTTGAATTCTCACAATTACCTCCTTTGTTCCCAAAGCAGAAATCTGAAATTCAATTTAAGAAAGAAAACAAGTATATCTTATTCATTCTTGTTCTGACAAAGGTAAAAAGAGTACCGTAAACTGTAAACCGTAAACCGTAAACCGTAAACCGTAAACCGTAAACCGTAAACCGTAAACCGTAAACCGTAAACCGTAAACCGTAAACTGTAAACTGTATACTGTAAACTGTAAACCGTAAACCGTGAACCGTGAACCGTAAACTGTAAACCGTAAACCGTATACCGTAAACCGTATACCATAAACCGTAAACCGTAAATCGGAAATGACACTCTATAATTTCGTATACAGGCCCTTTAATCAAGAGGTACAGTGATAACCAGAAAATTGTGGAACAAGAAGACGATTTCTAGGCTCAAGTTATAATTCAAATTAGTGTTCGGAACATGAGACACATCAATTATGCAGTGTACTGTCTTTCTGTACATAGATCATTTCACATTGAAACGTGATTTAATCTTCTTAATATTTGCTTTGAAGCAAGATAAAATACGCATCAATATTTATGTCGTCTTTCTATTCAACAATTTTCTGGTTCTAACTGTATGCAAGAATGGACTCCCCATATCAAATTCTCAACGGGAACTTTAAAACTTAATATTTTGAAGTCGTCGTTTTTAGCTTAAAAAGTCTATTTGTGAATTTCTGAAGAGTTTTTTGTTCATTTAAAAAAAAATTAGAGCATTTATCTTCTTTTGAATTTATTCTATTTTATTCTAACCCTGTGTAGAGTTAAAATGACACAAAGTGTCATGAACTGACATAAATTTTCTATTTTTGCATAAATGTGAAAATATGAAAATATGAGAGCAGATAAATCTAATCTAACCGCTTTACCAGGCTCAAATCATTTTCTCTTTACTATCAATGTCAAAAGATTGAGTTTTAACATACATAATTACAAGTTATGCGTCGTTATATATAGCGTAGTTAAACTGATCACAAAATGGGTTCGACAAAGTTATATATATATATATATCAAGGTTAGGTTAATCGCAATGCATGGTTTGCGTATTTACTACTGAGCACATTTAGATCTGCGGACAATGTACAACGTAATTTATCTAGATTACTATGATCCTCTGTATTTATTATATGTTTAAGGGGTAGGTATTAGGTAAGAATCGGAAGGGTTAAGGGAATAAAAGGGAAAAGTTGTTAAAGGGGTAAATGAGGTTGGTCATATAAGGGGAAAAGGGGATAAGGGGGTTGTTAAGTGGGGTGAATGGGGGAAAAGGGTTAATTAAGTGGGTGCAAGGGGGGTATTTGAGTATGTAAATTTTTCATTCCTTTCGAATATTATTGATCTTTTAACGGTACCGTTGTGAATCGTACATATGCTTTTCTATAAATTTAGGGTCACTTAATTTTACGTTTACAGGCCCTTTTAATACTTTATGAGAGTAAACAAGATGAGAAATGTTACACATTTCATACTCCATTTTTCGGGAACTCTTCCTTTAAGCCAAAAAACTGAAATAATTGTTTCTCAATATTTTAAAGTATAATGTTCATTTTCAGATAGAGAGCGCTATTAACTATTAACGGAGTGTGGTTAGACTAAAAGTGTGGAATGATTCTAAATGATGAAAGAAGATCAATACTTCCCAAGTTAAAGTTTTCTTATTAACTTTTCTAATCTAAAGAGTTGTGGACATTACTTCACTAAACAATGTACTAATCTCTACCTTGCACAGTGTACAGTGTACAGTTCAGAGTGTACAGTGTACAGTTCAGAGTGTACAGTGTACAGTTCAGAGTGTACAGTGTACAGTTCAGAGTGTACAATGATGATGGCGCCGCAAAGCTGTACATTATAGAACAGTTTCAGTGCAAACAAATCAATGGTGTACATGCAGTGTACATAAATGCAGTAAAATCTGTACATAAGTGAAAGAAAAAGAAAGTGAACAAAATGGATTCGATCAGAGTTCTAATAAAGCTGACACTTTTACTCTCAAGTTTAAATATTCATGTGTTGTAAGTAGAAATAATAATAATAATAATAATAATAATGATGATAATAATAATAATAATAATAATAATAATAATAATAATAGTAATAATAACAATAATAATAATCAATAATAATAATAATAATAATAATAATAATAATAATAGTAATAATATTAATAATAATAATAATAATAATAATAATAATAATAATAATCTAGGTCTCGACAAAGTTTACGGGGCAAGGAGAACTATCGACAGATAGAAAAGCAGATCCTGGACGATATTCTAGGAATTTTAAAACTTCAAATTCATAGAAATTTTAGAAATTCTTTAAACAAATCTTCAAATCTACAAATCTACAAAATAAACTAAATATTCTTGGAACAGTTTCTGTTTGTTAAATTATTCCTAGCTTGTGGGGGAAATGTTAGTAGCTTATCATTTGCAAAAAAAATAATACTTTTTCATATTTCTCGAGTCTGTGGAAAAAGCTTATTGTACATTTATCGAGACCCATAAAACTATGGAATATGAAGACGACTGTTAGACTGAAATTATGATATTAGATATTTCAAAAAAATGAAACATAGAAATTGTGCAGTGCACTCAGATCCATTTTACTTAAGCTGATTTTTCAGCTACTGGTAAGCATATTTGCTCTATAGCAATGTCAAATACATAAAAAATACATATTAAATGTCGTCTTACCATTCTCAGATTAATGGATTTTCCTACTTTATTGTCCCGCCTGAACACTTTATTGTCCTGTATTGTCCCGTATTTCCCGGTTATCATCGGAAGTAAACTTAAATCCTTAAATTTGTTAGTTAACACCGAGTTTCGTTTAATCTAAGCTCTATGTTGAAAAAATATTTCCCCCTTCGGTGAAATATTCCCCAGTCGTTCATGTTAAAAATAATCCCATTATTTTTTATGAAAAGAGGTATTTTTACTCTTTTCCATGCACTCTTCACTGTCCATCATATCCAGGTTTTTTTTAGAGTTGGTTGTTTGTCCCGTTGTCAGATCAACTTTAAGAAAATTCTATTCCTTTTAAGGCTGGGGGTCTCAATCTATGTACAGTCTGGGGGGGGGCGTCACACGCCCACGCCCCCCTCCCCATAGAAAAAGACATTTGAGAATGGGTATAGGGTTGAAATGTATGTTCCTAGCCAAATTTTTGAAGGTCAGCTCATTGAAAAAAAATTAGACCGAAAACTGAATTAGTTTGCAGGGTGCAAGTGAGGGTTGAAAAAAATGCCATAAAAACCTATAAAAAATGTAAAAATATGCTTTTTTTCTGTTTTAATCAAATATCAAGATGTGACACTTCTTTCTACATCCATTTTTCAAGGGCTTTTTAAAAATAGATCTGTAGCTTTTTAACAATTTTCTCCTTATAGACGCAACTGATAGAAGATCGATTAGTAGCGATCAAAAGCGTTTTTCCCCGTAAGCCTATACCCCATTTCGTTTTTCGCGAACACTCCCTTTAAATTGGGGCATGACTGATTCACAATGGTACGCCATAATACAAAAAAATCATGAAGATTTTCTTGTTCTTCTGTCTGAAAAATGTATAGTTTTCAATTGTGGGTTCTCTGCAATTTTATTCTGTAGAAATTAAAGTGTTGAATTCTAAACATTATAAAATAGAAAACGAGGATATTTTAACTCATAGTTGCTGAAATACAGGTGTTATGTAGAAGTTACAGATGGGAAGCGAGTTAATTGTGGGTCAACTCAATAAAATCATAATTTTAAACAATTGCGTTCCTGATACGACCTCATGCAACCTCTTAACTTCTGTAATGTTCAATTTACAGTAGTTATAATCATTTAAAACCAGTTTTTCTCACAGCATCATCATCTAAAAAAGTTATATTTATAACATCCATTATTTCAAACTAAAATAAAATAATCTTTACATGTATATGGAGAGAGATGTTTGTTTTTCTTTCTGTAAATTACCTCCCATTAGAGATGACAGCATTTTATATGAGAATAAAAATAAAACTTTATTTACTTTTACTGCCGACATTCCTAGGTTCCCTTATAACTAAATTATTCACACGGTTCTGTTAAAACCTTGATCTGATGAATAATCTGGACAATGTTTTTTTCGGCTTGAAAAGCCTTTTATTATGATGATTACTCCATTGTTTCTAAAGCAAGAAAAGGGCAAGTCAACCCTAAGATAAAAATAAGCAATTATAAAAACAGAAACATGGAACTTTATCATTTACAGTCCCTTTAAGATATTATAAAACATTTCTCTAACAGTTTCTCTCCTGAATTATTTTATACTTATATTATTTTATCGAAGACCAATATTGGGGGAAATATTTTGGTTATTATTCATAAATATTCATTTTTCTCTCCCCTTCTTCTTTTCAAACCATTTCTAAACACTTTTTGTAAAATATTTATAAAAAGTTTTCAAATTCTGGATTTTAGGGAAAGGTTACGACAAGCGGATCCGTCCTTCGGGTAGAAATTATACAGGTAAATGTGTTAAAAATGTTTTTACTAGAAAAATATTACAGTGAAACTCATAAACTATGGAAATGGAAGACGACTTTTAGACTCAAGTAATACTTTTTAATAGCCCAATGACATAAAAAACAGAAATTGTGATGTGCGCACAGTTGACTTTAAACCAGTGTTAAACCATCAAAACAATACTCAGAAGATTGTTTAAACATCGTCTTCCGATTCTACAGTTTATGTGGCACACTGTATAAAAAAGAAAATTTGAATATTTTATCTAAAATTAATTGCGCAGTTGAAACTTAATTTGACTTTATGAAACTTGATCTTTTGATAAAGTTTACGCGAGCTAATCTTGCTGAAGCATACATATTAATTTACATGTACACTTGGCGTACAGATTATTATACAAAGTACTTAACTCTGCTGTACTTTGTACATAAAATATCTGATAAACTAACTTACATCTTACTGATGTACTGTACAATGTAAAAATAAACTTTACCTCAAATCTTAAAAAAAACTTTAAAACCAATATAAACCCAAATTCTCTAGTTATACAACTATTTTATTGTATTGTATCTACGACAATTTAAACACTTTTATTTTCTCCAAAATATGTTTTTTTATGAAATTTAAGAGACCAACGCCATAAGGACTTTTGAATAGAATGACGAACTAGTTAAACTCGTTTTATTCTGGCAGGAAGTTTTACTGATCTCTTATGGATGAAAAATTTTAAATATATAGAGTATAGCTTAGTCTTTCCTTTCAAAAGTTCTTTTCTCTGAACAAGAGTTTAGAGAAGGTAAAAGATTTATTATAAAACTAGAATTCTACTTAGTGTTCCATTAAACTTTTAACAACTCTATTTATTAGAGTTTTTTGGGGCAAGTTCAGAACTCTATAAACAGTCTGCAGTAATAATATAAAACTACGGATATAGAAAAAGGGGGAATACAAAAAAATACATCAAAACCACATTTTTCAGTGCACTCTGAGCCGGTCACATGCAGTTAAAAATTAAATTAACTAAAGAATTCCTGATTGTAAAAAATTAGTTAAGACCTCTTACCTTAAATTTTTAACTTTAATCTCTATTCTTTTTCATTCAGTTAATTTCTATTCTATTCTATGCTATTCTATTCTATTCTATTATATTATATTCAATTCTATTCTATTCTATTCTATTATATTATATTCTATTCTATTCTATTCTATTCTATTCTATTCTATTCTATTCTATTCTGTTCTGTTCTATTTTTTTCTATTCTATTCTATCTATTATATTAAATTCAACCCATTCCATCTTATTGATTCTATTTTTAAACTTTCACTCTAACTCGATTATTTTTGATTATTTTTTAACATAATTTTTTTCAATTCATTTTACATTTAACATTAAATTAAATTTTTTCTTTTTATTCTTTTATGTATAATCTATTCAATTTTTTTATTTTCTATTTTCTATTTTCTTTTTCATTCTTTTGATTTTATTTGATCCTTCGAAATTTAGTTCTCTAATACTGTTGAATAATTCAAGCTCCGACCTGAGCATTATAAAATGTTTCTAAATAAATCTGCTCACTATACTAGTATGGCGCGGAGAAGTAAGAGTGGTAATGAGGGTCTGTAAGCGTAATTTCAAGTGACCCTCCAGGCAAAGATGGCAATGCCTGATTTACAACGGTTCCCTTTACAGCTTTGTCTGATCAAGTATAAATAAAAAATTAATGTTTATTATTTAAAAAACTAATTATTTTTTATTGCGGTTTCTCTGTAACATTTATTTGAGCATTCAAACTGCAGGAAAACAGAATTTAACAGTTTTAGTTTAGAAAAACGTGAATATCTTCCTTATCCTTAGATCAGATAAAGGTTTCAAAGGTACAGTTTTGAATCGGGCATTGACATCGTTACGCAGATGATGGGTATAAACTTGAAATAACAGTCCCTTGAAGGCTAATATTAAAATACCAAATATGAAAAATGTAAACTTACAGAAGGTCCAGCCTTGATTGCAGTGAATATATACTTGCGAACAATTTCAAGAATTGATGACGTAAAAATGGTAAGACTTGCTGTATAAACGATCCTCTGAAATTGGTCCAAAAAAGTTACTTTTTTGAATGGCTAAATTTCTCAGTTTTATATATATATAAAAATATATGTATATACTTAGTTCTTTAGGAAAATAAACCTGTAGAATAATTTACTTCTAGACTTTTACATATACTTGTCACCATTTTGAAAACACCAAACGCGATTTAAAAATGTTTTGGCGCCATTTTAAGGCGATCAGCTGATTTACAGTGTCCTCCAAATCAAATCTTTAAGACGTTTGCTGTTTCTAAAGTGAATTATTTCTTGCCCTCTAGCACACCTTATCATCGTTTTTGCCCTCTCTTCATTAATTCATGAAAAAAATGAAGAAAAAAACATATTTTTAAGGAGAGGTCAATAATTAGAATTATCATAGACTTGCACTGGTATAAATTGGATTAATTAAGTACAGATATATATACCCCCCTTCCCGGACATCCATTCCCAAAGTTTAAATGACAAAAAGTTTGTAGTTTATTGAGTTTGCAAAAGACAGTGGTTCTTGTCCAATACATGAAGAAAGAGAGGTAAGAAGAATATATGTACTTGGGCACTAGGGACGTTCGCCATTTGAAAAGGGAAAGACGTATTGACATAAAGACGTATTGACATATGACATTTCACTTATTGAGATATATTCTCAATCTCATTTATCTAAACAATGTTGTAAACGATATTGTAATTTAAGAGTTTAATCTGAAATTCCCCTCCATATTGTCTCAGAAGCTTGTGAATCGGACATGCCATTATACAAATGAATAGTGTCTTGATATTGCATCTATCATGGATAAAGATAGATTGCGCAAAAGACGACATTTTTCATCTTGAAAGATATAAATGTACAGAGATGTTTTAAAGATATTCCTATTATATAGATTACCTAGGTCGGTTGTGAACATTGGCTGTTCTTATGCCATTGAGTACTTGTGGTGTACATGAGTTCTGTAGAGAGAAATTTATGTTAGTTTAGTCCTTCTCATGCCCTTCTTCAGTTCTCGTCAATATGATATATTGCTCAGTGAAATATTGTTGTTCAAATAGTTCCATTCCCGGAGTTATTTTACACTCTATTATGAAATCCATTAAAACACTAAACCATCCCGCTTATCATTGAAGTACACTTTGACCCCTAGAAGTATGAGCTCGCGGACTGTACAATTCTTGGTGATTTTGCGTACATAAGCTATCTATGTTTATTTTTTATCTATGGTATCTACACTCTACAGTCCCTTTAAAGAGAATATTTGCAAAAAATAAAAGGTTTAGGATGAATTAGTGAGGAATCGTCATGGAACTATTCTAAATTCTGTCGGATTTTCAATTCTGGAAAGATGATTTAACGGAATTTGTCTCCAAAATATTTAAAACAGTTTCTAGTTAAGCAAAGTTTTTTCCACCCAGTTTTTCGTAATATTGACATATCGAAAACGTTTAGAAATTACAACCATTTTGTGAGAAATACTGAAGAGAATATTAAAAATATGTCCCGAACTTACCTAACATTCTGGTCGTATTTTCGTTTCTTCTAATAACAGAGTGCAGAGGAAGGAGATAATTCGTTTGGCGTACTGTTCCGGTTTACCTTACATAGTCTGTTATTGTACTGTACTGTACGGTTCTTGAAATAAACCAAAGTTTACAGTGGTGCAGAGAATGATTTTTACATAGAAAATTTGATATAAAATTCGCTTTATAATAAAGATAATCACCGCGGCCGAGAAGAAAGAGAAGCCTCATGAATCGATTCATGAATTAATTATGGTATATCGATATCCCATCCGTATAAACATTCCATCTTTTTGCAAACGTGTTGCTTCAGAAATTTCACTATTTTCTATTACATTTGATGATAAGGGAATTGAGTCTTTGCTGATTTACTGATTTTTGATAATTCAAACTATGAATTCTGTTTTATCAAATAATCAAAGTTTGAAATGAGAAAAGGTTTACGCCATCAGGTTCCAAATGTTTAAGGAGTATTAAATTCGAGTTCGTGGCAAAGACTGAATTCCGTTAATTGGAAAAAAGTGTTATATTTCTTGTACTATATGCAGTGTACAGAGCAAGGTACTAATGCAAGGAAAGTTAATTGCAGTTGCGTATACTCTGCGTACATATTGAAACCAGTTCTCTCTGGGCGGAATTTGTAAACAAGAATAGATGCATCAGTGTTCGTTTAGTATCCGAGGAGGTTAAAAGCATTAAATTTTGATAATTTTGATAATTCACATAATAGTTTCCTATGACCAGAATATTTCATTGATTTTTTTATGTTAAAGATGGATCCTATGACAGGCTTCCACATTATACGTCTTGTGTTTACATTACCGCCCAGAGACAGTACACTGCAGTACAAAATATGCGCACACCTCCGAAATAACTTTCCTTGCATTATAACCTTGGTACAGAGTAAAGTAATGAAACCCAGTTTTGGAAACCCGGTTTCATGAATGGGGTCAGGCAGTTTTGCAGATATCAATATTTTTTATTATTATTTCATGCGGTTTCTTTACATTCACTTTTATTTTCTGATTTGTTAAATTATAAATCTAGGCAAGAATATAGACCCGGCCCTAAAAGGAAGCTTGGGAGTTTTAATCATCGATACTGTCTTTAATTTCCGGCTTAGAGAAAGGTGGGGTGGGTTAGGGGCAATTCATTCTAATAAAAAAGTATCTCAATATTTGCTTCTGTCTTCAGTATTTTAACCGAACCAATGCATAAACTAACTATTTGTCCTGCTAAACTGAAGAAAATTGAAAATATTCAAATTTCTAACATTTAACCAGATAAATTTGTTTTCTAATACTTGTACGTGAAATGAAAACAAGAGGAGCTACAAGGTCACAAAGGTGTACCAGTAATGTATGTAAAATGAAAACAAGAGGAGCTACGAGGTCACAAATATGTTC